GGATTACACATTTGTGCCATGTTTGGTTTCTGGCCGTTTCCTTTTAATAATGATGTACACAGTTAGATGTATCGGAGAGCCAGTAAACGATATTGTGTTGATAGTGCAGCATTTTGCTAGCACTCTGTGAGCGAAAGTGTATTGTAGCAGTGCATTTATATCACATTCAGAGTTCTGATGCAGTATTAAAACTCTGGTTGTATACAGTTTCAAAGATAGTAAAAGTAGAGAGCAGTATTGCGAATGTCCAGGTACTCACTCCCCACCTTGAGTGGTGTCCAGTAGTCGCAGCCTGTCTTGTTCCATCGGAACCTCGTTGTGCTCTTCCAACCCCACACTGGTCATTGTGAGTCAGTTTCAGACATGATGCGATTAACCACATGTCCATTCAAGAATTTAAAAATCACTCATCACACCTAAAGATTAACTTAATTCCTAATAGCGGACATTCAGTCAATATATTTTCCCATTGTCTTAAAACTTTAAAAGTTCATTTTTAAGTCAGGATCCAAATGTTTACTCACCGTGATTAATGCAGCTTTCTAATCTCTTACACTTTATGGGTCCCTTTCTCTCTTATTTTTAATTCTTGCAGTGTATAGAGGAAGAAACTGAGTCACGCAGACCTTCCCTGCATGTGTTGTTGCTGATTGCATGCCTGCCTGTGCTTGTTTAATGAGCCCTCCTGTATTTGGATCTAAAGGCAATTATTTTTGACAAAAACTACTTCATGAAGTAGAGGTGTATGCTTCCAGCAGGAGAGTAGTGATGTCAGGTAGCCTGTCCCTTTGTGATACAGTTGACACTGATGATCTTCTCTTAAATGTGCTCATAGTTTGTACGTGATTGTCTGCTTTGTCGTTCCTTTTTCATTTCACAGTGGAATGTTTTTAAGAAACTTTACCCCAACTACTTGATTACTTTCATTACAATTCCTATAGGAAAGCTGGGATAGAGACGCGTGATTCTTTTCCTTTTTTAACCAGTTTTCAAAATAAAGTTGGTTACCTTCTATCATCAAAACTGAATAGTGAATTTTTGGCATGTATGACTGTTGTGTCGTTTTAATTTTTGAAATAAATTTTTGCTTCAGTCATTATAGTTACCTTTATTGGTGCTTTAAATTTTCCTGTGTCTGTAGGAAGACCCTGTTTCAAAAAACAAAAGCAGCAACAAAGAAACTTTATCTTGGGGCAGATTGGTTCCCGAGGGTTTTTTTAGTACTAGAGATTGAACCCTAGTCCTCAACAATGAGCTACATCCTCAGCACTTTTTCAAAGACCGTCTTGCTAAATTGCCATCATTTTTCTGAGCCTCCTAGAGTGCTGGGATTACAGGAAGTGTGACCCACCCTGCTCATAAGTGCCGTGGATATGACCCTCAAAGCCTTTGATTGCTTCCTGGTTCTTTTTTTTTTCTTTTTTTTTCCATCCTCTGACGGTGTTGCTATATAGTCCAGGCTGGCCTGGAACTCACAGCAATCCTCTTGCCTCAGCTTCCCAAGTACTGGGATTACAGGTGTGCGCCACCACACCTGGGGCTCTCTAGTTCTTGAAATAAGATGTTTCAGGCTCAGCCAGTACATCTACTCCAGACCCAAGATCGTCCCTTTCCTGTGGAGAGTGTATTTCTTTTAGTGGGAAATGTTTCGTAAAGATTACAGTTTGGACGCAGAGGGTGCTGCTTGCTGTCGGGTAGCTTCTGTCTAGGCCTTCGTATTGGAGTATGTTGGAGAGACTTGTTCTCATAGATAAAATATAGTGTTAATTTACATCGAGACTTCAAGTTGAAGTTCACAATTACAGGATGTTCATGACTTCATCAAGCTTTCTTTTCTATCGCCGCTCCAAAATTTCAGCTTCAAAGATACCTTACTGCTATTTGCTTATTCCAAAATACAAACATTTCTATCAACAATTTGCCTACTAAAACTAACCTAAAGGGGTTGGTTTTTGTTTTTTTTTTTTTTTGTAATGCTTCCAGTTCGAAGGACATGTCCTACTAAGGATACACAGATTATATTTCACAGTCACTTGAGATAGTTTCTCTGCTTGATATAGTTAAGCAGCCTTTAGGTTCACTTAGTTTCATTTTACTTTTAATTTTTAAGGATTACTTCTTAAAATATTTTGTTTTATGATATATTTACATGGTACCATAGTGACCTCTGTATGAAATATATTCACTGAAGTTGCATCTTTGTTGCTTATACCAACATTCCTTTCTCTTTCTGCCA